TCTGCCCGAACCCGAGAGACTCCAGGTCGGGCTTCTCCTTTGGCAGCTCGGCACCCGTCAGCACGGAGTGGCGGGTCGCAAGGGGGCCGGCGCCTCGGCTGATCTACCCCGGGGCGTGTCCGTCCGGCCATGCCCTGGCCCAGTTCACGTACCCGAGCACAGGGCGCAACACGTGCGAGGTTTGCGAGAGCGACAAAGAGGCCAACACCGTGGCGTTCGGCTGCCGGAGGTGCGACTGGGACGTGTGCGAGGACTGCTTCCGCTCGGCGGTCGCTTGCCTGCGCCCCACCGCCGAGGCGCAGCGCCAGCCTTCTTGCCCTCAGCCAGCGGGCGAGTCCACGCCCATGGTCGAGGGCCTGCGAGTCTTGTGCGACTCTGCGAGCTTGGTGGCCATCGGGGCCGAGGGGAACGGGGCCGCCCCGAGCGGTGCCGTCATCGCGCTCTTGGAACGTGCGGAGCAGATGGCCGACCTTCGCTCGTGGCTCGCACAGGCCACGGGTGCTCACATCTCGGCGGTGGTGGTGCCGCAGCGAGTGTGCTCGAAGGCGTGCGCTGCATCGGCGCGCTGGCGGTCCGACCTCGCGGATGCGGCGCTGGGAAGGAGCGTTGTTGTGATCAGTGATCAGTCCGCTGCACAGCTGCGGTGGGCTCTGGCGCAGCGTAGCGGGGTGTGGAGCACGGCTCTTGTGTGCCCTCCTCCCGCACGACGAGGCGGCTCCTCCGTGAGCGAGGAGCCCGTGCGGGCAGTCGGCGAGATGCTGCAGCGACTCGCAGCGGAGCCGTCGATGGAGGACCTCGGCATGGGCGAGGACCCGACTCCGACCAACCGCATTCCTTGGGCCGTCGCCACCCTCGTCCGCCTGCTCGGCGAGCGGCTGGGGCCGGTCGCAAGCGCGGCAGCGGCGCAGCTCGGGGCGCTGAGCAGCTGGCCTCGTGAGGACGCCGAGGCGTCGGAGACGGAGGGCGAGGTCAAGCCGCAGAACATCGAGAGCTCGTCCGAGACGCGCGCACAGGCGGCGTCCTGCTTGTTCGACGGCCGCAAGAGCACCTACTGGGAGAGTGATCTCCGCGGGGGCACCAAGCCGCATTGGGTCGCCTTCAATGGGTGGGAAGGCCGGCTCACCGAGCTCTCCATCTACCTCAAGGACCACGACTCGTACAGCCCGAGGAGGCTGCGGGTCAAGGTCAAGCGGCTCGCGGGGTCGCGGAGCGGCGCCATCTGGGTAGCAACGCGCGCGGGGTCGGTCGAGCTCCCTCGCCCGCGCTCCTCGATGTGGCATCCGCTGCTGCGCGGCGACGAGCTTAAAGACGTCGTCGCCATCAAGCTGGAGGTGCACGCCAACCACCAGAACGGCATCGACTGCCGCATCAACGCCCTCCGCTTGATCGCTCGCGCCGAACGCTCCGGCTCAGCCGCCGTCCCGCACCACTGGCACTCGCTCTCGTCCGCCGAGTCGCTCGGGGAGGTGCAGCAAGCCCTTTGCCGCCACGCGCTCGGCGACGAGGATGCGACGTGCCGTCTGGGCAGGATGATGGCCAACGAGGGCACGCAGCGCGCCGCGTACGTCCTGCTCCTCAACTACCTCGCCTCGCTTCCGACCGCTCCGGTGTCCGCCAAGCTGGAGAGGGCGTGCCGAGGCGCGGAGTGGCGGCACGGGGAGTCCGCTCAGCGGCAGCGGCTCAAGGCCGAGTCGCGCCCACGGCCTCCTCCTCGGCGGCCGTCCGGACTGGTCGCAGCAGCTGCCGCAGCGGAGAGACAGCTGGCTGCGGCCAGCATGCGAGGGTCAGCTCACGAGGCCGGCCGCGGTGGGAGCGATCGGGCGCCGCCGCCATTCCTGCTGCCGCAGAGTCTCGCAGAGACGAGCATCGAGAACGAGAACGCCGGTGGCGTCGGCAGGGGCGGCCCGGATCCTGAGGTGCAAGCTCCGCTGGCGCAGCTGCGGCACGTGCTCCTTCGCAGCTCGCTGCTGCAGCTCTTCGTGGCGACGATGGGCGCACTCCCGTCCGGTCCGGCCCGCGTGCGCATCCGTGTCGCCGCGTCGGCGCAGGGCGGGGGCACGGTGGCGAGCCAGCTCGACGTGAAGTGCGCGGCGAGGGCCGGACTCGCCGAGCATCTTGGTGCTGCCCTCGGTGGCGGACAACGCAGCCGTGGGGGCGGCGGCGCGGAGTTCGCGGCCTCACTCCTGCTTGCCGCCTCGTCATCCTATGGGCCGCTCCGTCAGGAAGGGTACTGGCCGGGCCTGCAGCCAGCTGCGACGGTGACGGACGCATCGCAGCTAGCAGCTCTCGACTTGCTCACAATGCACGACGGTGCGGCGGAGCCCTTTGCCAACGCGCAGCGCAAGGCGCGGCCGCTGTCCAAGGAGTCGCCGCTTTGCCGCAGCAGCACGTCGTACTACTACTTCACCTTGCCCCGAAGTATCGGGCGCGTCGCGAGGGAGCAGGTTGCGCATGAGCGGCGGGCGCGGCGGGCGCTCGCCGACAGCAGCAGGTGCTCGTTTGCGCGCCTTGTGGCGGACTCCGGGTCGCCGCAGAGGTTCGACAGCACTTTGCGCTTCGAGGGCGACGCTCAGATGCGGCTGCCTGCGGCGCAGCACCTGTTCGAGCACTTGCGCTGCCTGCTGGTGCAGAGCAGCCACTGGGTCGCCGCCGAGCTCGTGCTCGACTCGTCGCTTGCGCCTTCCGCCCTCGCTTGCTTTGACGACATCGCGGGGCGCGCCGGCGGCCATCCGGTGGATTTGCTCCACCGGCTCCTCCTCACCTCGGGCCCGATCACAGCCCGCCGGCTGTGCGAGTACAGCCTCGCGACGCCGGACGGCGCGGAGCGGATGACCGCGCTCGCGCAGTGCCTCCTGCTCGGCGAGCTGCCTTCCCTCTCCCAGGCGAGTGTCCACGCGCCGGCCGAACGCCTGAACGAGCGGCCCGCTCCGCCGGCCCTCGTGGCCAACGGAGCGCTCCAGTGTCCCGCCTCGTTTGAGCTGGCGGAGCCCCGCGCCCTCAGCAGCGCTGTGAGTGCGAGCGGCGGCGCACGCGCGGCGGGCGCGCGGGTGCGAGCGAGCGCCGAGGTCTCGTCCATCTTCCACTTTGGCGCTTGGCTGCTCATGCGGTGCACGTCGGGGACTGGCGAGGGCGCATCGACCAGCTTCCAGCTCACGCATGCCACCTTCGAGCTGCTCTGCGCGCTTCTTGGGTGCTCGGCGAGCCTCAGTCAGGTGGTCCCAGCCTTGACGGGCGCCGCGGATTGCCTGGCCGCCTTGGACTGCCTGCACGAGGCGCTGCGGGCGTGTCCGTCCGCGTGTGACGCCGGCGGGCGGGGAGTGCTCAGCCTGCGCTTCTCGCAGCTGCCGGCGCCACCATGCGGACCATCCTCCCTCATGATGCTGCCCGCGCAGTCGTCTCGCCTGCAAGCGCAAGCTGCGCCCCTCCTCCGGCTGCTCGCAACCATCGGCACGGACGGTCCTCTGGCTGCAGCGCTGGCTCCAACGGAATGGATCTCGGCGGGCAGCGCGGCGGCGCTGCTGCACTCGCTCTCCAGCCGCTCACCGCTGCCGAGCGAGGTGATGACGGTTGCCCTCATGGAGCACCGCAAGCTGGCTGCCGTCACCGTGCGCCTCGAGGGCTGCTCGGGCGAGCGGGGCCGGTCGTGCAACGGCACCTACCACCGACTTCCAGATCTGCACAACGACGCGCCGCAGTACAAGAAGGAGGGAGGGCCTCAGCTCATCTACTTTGACAGCGAGAGGCAGCTCTGGAAGATCTCCGCGACCGGGTCGACCAACGGCTGGGCCTACACCAATAGCAGTAAGCTGCTCAGTGGCCAGTGGGCGGGGGCTTACTCGACCGCAGACGGGCTGCCCCTGCTGTACGAGCTCGGTGCGGGCCAGACCGCCTCCTCCGCCTCCTCCGCCGCCTCCGCCGCCTCCGCCTCTTTCGCTTCCTCCCCGCCCGCTCCGCCGCGCGCCGGCGCGGCGCCGGCGGTCGACACGCCTGACTGGACGCGCGAGCAAGACGGCGAGCTCGCGCGGCTGCTCGAGTCGCTCGCAAAGTCGAAGGGGATGGCGGCGCGCGACCTGTCGAGCGAGAGCCTCGCTCGGGCGGTTGCGCAGCAGGGGCGCTTCGCACGGCTGCAGGCGATCCCGATCGATGCGCTGCACGCGCGCTGCCAGGTGCTGTGCGAGCTCAACGAGCGGTGCTTTGAGTTCCTCCTCCCCTGGCTCGCGCTGGACCGCGCTGGCACGCCGGGCACCCTCGCGCACGAGCTGGCGAGCGTCAAGGAGCTCCTCTTCAACGAGCAGAAGAAGCTCTTCTTCGAGCGCATCGTGGGCGCCACCGCGACCAGCCACGCGCAGCTCACGTTCCGCTTCGATCGCCAGGCCGCGCGGCGTGCCGTGGCCACGGCAGTCGGCGCCGGCGACGAGGAGCTCGAGGCGGACGATGCGTCCATGTTCGAGCAACTCCTGCAGCAGATCGCGACTGCCGGCGGGCGGCGCCGGCGGTCGCCGCGCGAGGCGTGGGATGAGCCGCTCCCCTTCATGGTCCTCGCCAACCACGAGAAAGCGTTCAACGTCGAGTTTGCGGGTGAGATTGCGAGCGACGTCGGCGGGCCGTACCGGCACGTCATGGAGGACATCTGCGCCGAGCTGCACTCTGCGGCGCTCCCCCTGCTCGTACTCACGCCAAATCACTCGCAGCCGCTCGCGCTCGACCGCGGCAAGCGCATGCTCAGCCCGGCGGCGAGCGGCGCCTGGGCGCTGCAGAGGCTCGAGGCGGTTGGCGCGCTCATCGGCGTCACGCTGCGCACCGGGTCGACGCTGCCGTTTGAGCTGGCCAACGTCGTCTGGCTGGCGCTCCTTGGCGAGGCGCCGTCGCTGCAGGCGTACGCAAAGGTGGACAAGTCGTTCACCGAGCTGGTCACGCAGGTGCGTGACAACTCGCACCCGTCGTGCCCCGACATGGACCCCGAGGCGTTCGACGCGGTCTACGACTGCATCACCTTTGCGATGCACCGCTCCGACGGCGGTTCCACGGTCGAGCTCAAGCCCGGCGGTGCCTCGCTCAGCCTCACCTACCACAACCGCTCCGAGTGGTGCTCGCTCGCGACCGCCTTTCGGCTGCACGAGTGCGACGCGCAGACCGCCGCCGTGCGGCGGGGGGTGGCGCAGATTCTGCCGCTCGAGGCGCTCGTCCTCTACACGGCGGACGAGCTCGAGCGGCTCGTGTGCGGACAGCGCGACTGGTCCGTGGAGCACCTCCGCAAGTACGCCGAGGTGCGCACGGCGGACAGCCGCAGCGTCGGCTTCCTGTGGGAGGTGCTGGCCGAGATGGTGCGCGAGGAGCGCGAGCTCTTCCTCATCTTCGTGTGGGGCCGCTCGCGCATGCCAGAGGGGGCCCCGCCGCAGCGCTTCATCGTCGACTCGCAGCACGTGCAGGGCGACCCCGACGAGCACCTGCCGCTCGCCGCCACGTGCTTCTTCCAGCTGCACCTGCCGCGGTATAGGAGCAAGGAGGCCTGCCGCGCGAAGCTGCTCTACGCCATCTACAACTGCAAGGAGATGGACCTCGCGTGATTCCACCGAAACTGGAGATGACCGAGTCCGCCTGTACGTGTCCGCGGAGTCGTCGTCGGTGTTTGTCGCGCCTTGTGGGCATATTGTATGTTTTTGTATAAGAGGAGCCTATCGTGCTTCGTGGGCTCTCGAACAGAGAAAAAGGAAATAAGATTGCGAGTCGGCGCCTGAAGCCTGAAGGGGTAGGTGCATGTAGCACGAGAATCGCCTTGCGCGATCGCGGATTACGGTCGGTGTGAAAACAGTAGTACATCAGATAAAAAGAATTTTCAGACCTCAGCGAAGCAACTTAAAATCCCTGAAAGAAAGAGAAAACAGACAAGCCAAGCGAGGGATCGACGGCTTGTAAAATTCTTTCTGCACCTGTGGCACTCCGGCCCTGTGGCCATTCACGTCGGCAGCTGCGTTGAGAGCACGTCGGCAAGCAAATTCAACAAAAGCATGGTCGACGAACTCGAGTTCAACTTGCCGAGCTTCAAAGTGCTGGCTCATGTCGCGTGTACGGTCGTTGCAGTACTCGGCGGGGTCTCGGTGCTTGTCTTCCTCGAGCTGCGAATGATCGACAGAGCGCACCTAAGGAACCCAGAAATAGTCGACTATGCCACCGGCGCGGCCAGCTGGGGCGCCGTCTCAACCTCGTCCGTTCTCGTTGGCGCTGGGCTCAGCGTGAGGGGCTGCGCGGGCGGTCCAGTGGTCCAGGCGGCGCTTCTGGCATTTGGAGGCGGGGCGCTGCTGGAGGCTGCCAGCGTCGAGATCTTCTCGCACTTGCTGCACGAGGCGGCAGATGTGAGCGAGTATGGCATCGCGGGCGCCTTCGCCGGCATCATCCTCTTCACCTTACTGCACGCGTTGCTGCGCTGCAATCAGCGGGCGGATTCGGAATCCGCGCGGCATTTAGACAGACAGTCGGCGGGCAGCCCAGAGAGCCCTGGGCACTCGGGACATGGCAGTGCCGATATGCCTAAGCGGTCCACGCTCAGCATCATTCGCACCGCCTCGACCAACTCACTCGCGGGCCTCATCGGCACGCGGGCTCCGGTCGCCGCCCCGTCTTCGGTTGCTCTCTGGTGCGGCAGCGTGCTGCACGCCATCCCCGAGGCGCTCGTGCTCGGCATCATGTACAACGACCGCGCGCGAGAGAGCGACTACACTCCGGAGTCGAGTCTGGGTACCGGGAGCAACCGTCTCGTGGCCTTCGCCGCCGCGCTGCTCCTCTCCAAGCTGCCCGAGGCCCTCGTCGCGTCCGAGGCGCTTCAGCAGCGAGGGCACGGCGGGACGCGCGTGATAGGCATGTGGAGCGGCCTGGTCGCCATCTCGGCCGCCTGCAGTTTTTTCATCTCCCTCGCCTTCGACCCCGCTCGCGCAAAGCCGAGGGCGGCGCACGCGGCGCAAGCTGCTGTCGAGGGCGTTTGCGGTGGGATGCTGGGTGCGCTTGCCGCTTGCACACCTCACCCCGGCCTCACGCTCACCCCGATCTCTCACCCATGCTCTCACCCCTGTCTCTCGCCCCGTGACGTCTCGCCTCGCCAGGCGCGAGGGTCCTGAACAGCATCCTCCCCGAGGCGAGCCAGAAGGCGGGCGGGCCCGCCGGCTCCCTCATAGGCGTGGCGGGCATGCTCGGCTTCGTCGCGGTGCTCTGCGCCTCTGCAGCGTCCTCCTCCCGGTAGGAGACAGCCCTGCACGTCTCCATGCCCGCGAGCGCCGAGCCGGTCCCCGGCGCCCAACCCCTCTGGCTCCGTGGTGCGGGGGTTGAGACATGAGAGTCCAGGGCGGTGCCAGGGCCGGTGCGGCTGCACATGACCGGCTGTGCGGGGGTGTCAGGGCGTGCTTGAGCAAGCTGCCACCATGCAACGCAAGCTGCATGCCTCTCGTCCCGCGTGTGTTAGCAGGCCAGCCCCACAGCCCGACAGTTTACGTATAGTGGGATGTTCAAGCAAGAAAAGCCCGCCCTACCCGGGGGAATGCAACAACAGGGGAATGCAAACGACGAGAGAAGCAAAAGTGCACACCCGGTAGGCACCCGGCCTCGCGGTTCGCGCGCAAAACGCGGGGGCACGGGAGTAAGTTCACTAAAGTGGCAACCTTCAGATGACTAAGCCAGGTGGTTGCCTGCCGGTCGCCGATGGGGATCACGCTCTGCAGCAAGAAAGGGCCGAGGAGCGCTCGCGGGCAATCGAGCCCACGAGCCGGCCGCCATTCCGTCGGAAGAACACTCGCCAGTCGCCCCGAGAACCCCGTGAGACCAAACATCATGCGTGGGCCGGGCCAGCCAGCAAGGCGGCGCGCCGCGGGGCGTGAGCGCCGCCCGTAGCGGCGGCCGGCCAGTCCCCTCCCCACCACCTCCTCCTGGACCTCGACTTAGGCGGGCACGCCCTTGGAGAGAGTGACGTACTCCTTAGCAGCGCTGCGGCTCGTCTCGTCGACCGAGTAGCGGCACTTGTCGCAGTAGAAGGAGAGGGCGGGGTTGCTCTTGAGGCAGGTGAGTACGAGCCCGCTCATGCAATGCTTGCGGGCCAGCTCCTCCGCCGTCTGCATCGCGTGCTCCCCAAGGCCGGACGCGCGGACCGGCTCTGCGAGCTCGAGCTCCTGCAGGTGCAGCACGGGCCGGTCCGACTGAATGCAGAAGCGGAGCTGGAGGAAGCCGACGATCTCGCCGCGCGCCGCCTCGCGCCCGCCGCCCAGGCCCGCCGCCTGCGTGAAGGGTTGCGGTGGCGGCGCCAGCGGCGCCAGCCGGCCGAGGTCCTTAGGCTCGACCGGGTGGTGAATAACGACCCACCCCTCAGCCTCAGCGTCGCTGAGAGCCGGCGGCTCGTCGGGGAGCGGACGTTTGCGGAGGAGCAGCACGTGCGTGTCCGGCGCCGCCAGCGCGGAGCGACGCTCCGCTTCCTCCTGCTTCCAGCCAGCCGCTTCGGCGAGAGCAGGCGAGGCCGAGAGCAGGCTCAGGCAGGCCTCCACCTCGGACGCCTGGAGCTGGGCGCCGGCCACGGCCTCGAAGTGGACATCGAACTTCTCGCCGATGTCCCGGACAACCTCGGTGCCGGCGAGCAGGTCCGTGTCCGCGTTGGCCTTTGCGATGAGCGCCTTGTTCGTCGCATCGCGCTGCTGGCGCTCGGTCTTGGCCAGCTTCTTGCGGCTCGCGGACTTGAGGCCCTTGCACGCCACGGACGGCGTGTGGGTCCGCTGACGGGCCATGGGGCCGTTTGACTTTGGCCGCCGCAGAGCTGTGTATGAGAGGGCAGGTGGACGGGATGCTTGAAGGAGCCTTTCGCAAAATGCCGACCGGCCACAACCATTGAATCGAGTAGTGAATCTTCTCGTCGGTTCGGGGCCACAGCCCCAGCCCGCCCGGCCCAGCCTGAGTGCGATTCGAATGCAATGTACAATGTACAATACACGACGAGTCACCCCCGATCTCACCGGTACCCAAAAAACAAAGAAATTTGTAAACGTCTCTCTCCCTAAAAACTCTCCCTTTCCATGGCTGGCCCCACTTTACGACTGGATGGGCTTTGAGATCGTAAGCCGGCGAAGAGCCCCCGAAAAGAAATAAAAGAGAGGTTTCATCCAGCATGAGTTCTTGATCTGCTAACAACGAGCTTACAACAGAATGTTCTGGAGAAACGATGGGGTTCGCGCCATTCACGCCCATCTCATGTCGATGTCGGGGGCCCCACTAAATTGCCCGAGTAAGCGGACGGAGACTCGTCGTGCGTCCCTGATCCTGGCGGCGATAGACACATTCAGATGGCGTCCAGCAGGCTGATGCGTGCCTTCCGCGGTCCAGCCTCCATCGCCGCGTCAAGCGCCTCGTTGGCGGCCGCTCACGCTAGTCGAGTTCCCAGCGACTGTGACCAGAATGATGCGGTGCCCACACGCCTCCCTTTCCGTCTAGCGCTCACCCCGCCATGCACGTTGGCACCGCCTGCTGTGTGCCCGTAAGGCGCTTCACGAGGAGTTGGAGAAGCTGCGGCCGGGCGAGGATGCGATGCGGAAAAGGCGCGCGGGCTGCCGGGCACGAAGCCGAAACTGTGACACCAAGGAGAGGCGGCTTCTTGCTCTCGCAGGTGGGAGATTGATATTGACACCGGGGCATGGCCAAGCCCCTTTCCCATGGTTGAGGAGGTCCCGCGGCTGCGCCGCGAAGCAGCCGAACTCTGCACCCAAGAACAGTTTCAAGTTCAACACTCACCGAAAAGACTTGCCTCGAAAATCAGCAGCTCAATCCCGTCGGAGCCGGGCGAGAGCCCGCACCTCTCGTCTGAATGCATACGCAAGGCGCGGCTTGCCCGCCCGGAGCGGCCGCACGGCACGCTTGCCTTCCCCAGCAGCCCACATCCGAACGCTCGCGTCCCCGGCTAGGCCTTCGATCTGGCAACCGTCCTCGCGTTTCAAGACGTTGACAGCGATGCAGGATACAAGATCTACGAAGCGCTCGCCTCGGCAGGAGACGCCCAGGCGATGACGGCAGCGGGCTACTGTAAGTTGGAAGGTGTGTCCCCTCGCCCATCTGTGCCCAGCTACCAGTCATTCATCGAAAGCTCTTTCTGCGCAAGGCATTGGTGAGCTCGACATCGACGAACGGGAGGCAATCCGCTGGCTCAAACTTGCGGCGGAGCACGGAGACGCCGAGGGCATAGTGCGTGTCCTCCCTTCCCGCCCTGCCCAATGCTTCTCTCACAACGCGCCGCGTCCCCCGACCGGAGCAGTACAAGCTGGCGCTTGCATACTACACCACGTACGAGGAGCCAGGCACTAATAGTGACGAGAAAGCCCTCGAGCTCTTCTCGCGCTCTCGCGAGAAGGAGCATGTAGAAGGGGCGTTTATGCTTGGGCAGATGCTCCTCGACAAGGGGGACGCTGCGAGCGCGGTGTGCGCTCGCAGAGGGCAGGGCAGGCTGGTGCGGGACGACGATCCTCGTCACGGGGAGCCTTGCACGCTAGGTGCCGCACCTCTATTTCGCCGGCGAGGCGGGCCATTGGGGCGCTCGAGAGCTACTTCTCAACCTTCTTGACGAGGATGCCAAGGCGAGAGGGTGACGCATGCGGGTGTCTTCATCGCTTGTTGTGGGGACACCCTTGAGGCGGCGCGCCCGCGACGCTTCCCCGCGGGCTCAGCTCTCTCGCCGGCTTCCCTCAAAGCCCATCCAGTCGTAAGTCTCCGACAAACCTAGGTTGGTGCGGGGTACCGGGGTGATTCGTCGTGTAGATGGCGCTGCGCGCTGGTCTATGAGATATTCACAGATAAGGGTGATAAGAAACAAGAACCTGATACGTTCACAAAGTAGAGGGTGTGATAACGAGAGACACAAGAATCTCGAGACGACGAAGGTGAAAGAGACAGACCCGCTTTCACAGATAGGTCCGCCTCTCACACCCTCATCGCAGACAGTGAGCTGTGAGGGTGTGAGAGGCGGGGACCTAAGGAAGGTCTTACATCTCTTTATTTCCCACCCCTGACCGAGCTCCCGGTCCCGCTCGACCGAGCTCCCGCTCGACAGAGTTTGGTTCACGCAAAAACACAACCCCGGACCCATTGTTATTGAGAAGAAAATACGTCGTATGGGGCTGTGCGCTGGTCTGTTCACAGCCTTGTTATTAGAAGAAAATACGGACGTTTCAAACCCTTTGTTGACGTTTCGCCTTTAGCCATGGAGGTGGACGCGCCGCCCCGACGCCTACCCCGCCGAGCGCACACCCGTCCTGAGGCTTGTCCGCCCTTCCCAACAACTCAGGAGGATCTGAGGAAACCACCGGCCCCTTCAAACGAGCCTGGAGCGTTCGAGGCACTCGAGTCCGACTTTCAGGAGGTGAGCGCATGTGATATCACTGCGCCTTGAAAGTCGGTGGCGGCAATGCACTACTGCTCGTGCGCCACCTTGAAAGGAGGACCTCGTTGTTAACAGGTGCTCCAGGAGCTAGCAGGTGACGAATCGCTCGAGCGCTTCCGCCTCGAGTACGATAAACTGCACCGCGCGCTCAAGACGTCTCATGTGTCCGAGAAGCGCCTCATAAAACGATGCCGCGACCTCAACGGCGAGATCGTCTCCAACGCAGCCAAGGTGCAGACAGCGCTAAAGCTATCGCAGGAGGACCAAAACACCATCGCGTCGCTCAAGCGCGAGATTGAAAAGGCACGCTTGCTACACTCTTGTGAGAACGCGAGCGCCAGGCGCAGCGTTGAACTCGCCCTCGCGCCTGGCGGCCACAGGCGTGGAAAATGGCGGACACGGCGCACGAGAAGGAGGAGAAGGCCAAGTCTACGATCGGAGCGCTCAAGACGGAGATCCAAAACCTGTCGCATCTGGTCGAGCAGGGCGCCGGCCTGAGCCTGGGACACGAGAATGCGATGAAGGAGCTAGCGGCTGCAACCAAAGCACTTGCCAAGGCGCGCGACGCCGAGGCGACGCAGCTGCATTTCCTCAAGAAGGAGAGCCGCGCTCAGATCGAGAAGATGGCCACGATCGATGCCGATTCGGCGGCGGCCGCTGTAAATCTGGCGACGCTGCTTGCCGAGACAGAGGAGAAGAGGGCGGAGGTGGAGCGCGAGCTTGCACGTAAGAGGAAGATCGAGGCCGAGGTAGCGGCCGCGCGCGGCGCCATCGAGGAGAAGGCGGCAGAGGGGCGCGAGGTCTTGGCGGATCTCCAGGCACAGAAGGAGCTGGCGTCGAAGCGCGAGATCACGCTGCGCGAGGAACGCGGGCTCTGCGAGAAGGGGGCAAAGGAGGCAGGGGTGCTGGAGGGCAAGGTGCTCAAGGCATCAAAGGAGGCGGACGAGATTGAGGTGATAGACCGCACCGGCTGGGAGTAGAGGGTCTAGGGCATGCGACGATGCGCCCACACACCAACAACGAGCCATGCCGCCATCTGGCTTCGGTTTGAGCGCCTCCGGCCCGGCTGCAGGTTGCAAACCGGCAGCTGCTCGCCGAGGAGGCCGAGCGGGAGGGGCAGCTCAAGCTGCGCAAGGATGAGCTCATCTCTGGGCAGCGCGAGCTGGACAAACAGGCAGCACTGTGCGAGGCCTACGCGAAAAAGATCAAGAGCACCCGTGGTACGCTCAGCCGGGCGGAGAAGGAGCTCGACGAGGCCAAGGCGCGCAGCTCTGCAACCGAGAGCGAGCTCGAGACTGCGCGGTCCGAGCACGAGCGCGAGAGGAAGGCGGTGGGCAGCTTGCTGCGCGAGCGGGATGTACTGCACCGCCAAATGGTCAAGGCTGGCGTGCTCAACCAGAGGCAGCTCGACCAGGTCCGGATGCACGAGAAGGAGAGGCAGACCCTCGAGCTCGAGATTGCCGGCTACAAGGCGGACGCGCAGGAGCGGCGCAAAGCGATCTTTGCGCTCGAGCGAGAGTGCGACGAGCTAGGGGTAGAGGCGGCCGAGGCGGCGGCCAAGCACGCGCAGGCCCTTGACGCCATCAAGGAGCGCGAGGCGGCGGCCGCCTCGCTGCAGCTGCGGGTTTCCGATGTCGAAACGCGGCGGCAGCAGCAGCAAACACTATACGACGCGGTGCGCGCGGACCGCAACCTGTACTCGAAGCACCTGATCGACGTGCAGGCGGAGGTGGAGGAGATGCGACGAAGATTTAAGATCATGCACCACCAGATCGAGCAGCTCAAGGAGGAGGTGCACGCCAAGGACCGAGGGCTTGTACGGGAGCATTTTGACCACCTCAAGGCGGAGAAGGAGAACGAGCTAGTGCAGGAGCAGCTTGCGGCGCAAAAGGAGTCGAGCGCCGCAGGGAACGAGGCAGTCGCGCAGGCAGAGGGCGAGATCGTGCGCCTCAGCGATTCCATCAACGACGCGGAGGGCGAGCGCCGGCGCCAGAAGAAGGAGAGCGACGCGGTCCGTCGAGAGCAGGAAATCCTCGGCACGCAGCTCCTCCGGCGCACCGACGAGATTACGCTGGTCTACGAGAAGATACGGATTTGCGACTCGATGCTCGAGAAGGGTGAGCAGCACTACAGGGCGCAATCTGCAGAGGTCGACGAGCTGCGCGGCCAGATCGAGGCCGCACAGGGGAGGCTGGCGGGGCTGGGCAGCTCGATGACGACGGTGACGCGTATGCGCGGCGAGATCTACCAGCTGCAGCGCGAGCTGCTGCAAGAGAGGACAAAGCTGCGCGCGCTGACAGAGGAGCTCGAGTACCCGATGAATGTCCATCGATGGCGCAAGCTCGAGAGCTCTGATCCGGAGACGTACGAGCTGGTGCAGAAGATACACATCCTACAGAAGCGGCTCGTGGACAAGGCGGAGGAGGTCGCGGAGAAGGACCTGCAGATCCACCAGAAGGACAAGCTCTACAATGAGCTCAAGGCGCTCCTCGCGCGCCAGCCGGGCCCCGAGGTCGCCGGACAGCTTCGCGTCTACCAGCAGTCCCTTGGCGAGCGCGAGCGTCAGATGAGCCAGATGAAGTCGGAACTCTCGCACTTCCACACACAGGCGGCCGAGTACAAGCACGAGATGGGGCGGCTGGGCAAGGAGCTGCGCGACGTCAAGATGAAGTATTTCGAGCAGAAAAAGAAGGATCTGGCGGAGCGGGAGCGGATCCGCGCGGAGCGAGCCCCTGCTGCGGAGACGCTCGCTCTGGAGGCGCGTTCGACGCTCACCCGGTTCACGGGAGGCGGCTTTAACTTGAGCGCGCCATGGAGCGCGCCCAGTCACAGTGGCATACAGAGTAGCCAAGCGGGCGCCTTGTCGTGAGAGTACTGTTGTGTGCGTGCATTTGTTTTACACTCGAGACTCTGGTCTCTGGACCCCCCACACTGGCGGAGGAACAAATTTTACCCACGATGCTCGATGGCGCGCGGCGCGAACCGACTCGTCGGTGACTCTGCTGCACGCCGTTTCAGATTTTTTCTCAGCGTGAGCGAGACGTGGAAGAGTGCCACCGTCGGGTAGGACGGGTCGGCCCGGAGCATCAGAGTAAGCCGTCGTGGTCGCGGCGAGCAGCGCCGGCCACTCCGGCGCCGCGTCGGCAACATGGGAGCATGTCCACCGCCACTTCGCGGTCGCAGCGCTGTTTGTCGCCCGAACGCCGCATATCCCTCTGGCGGGCCAAAGATCGACTCGCATGTCGATTTTGACTCGAGGGGCGGCATGGAGGCATCACGTCTCCATGCCGCCGTGAAGTCGGAGCCAGTCTGCGGCGACCACAGCGCTCACCGCAGGGATATGCGAGCTTTTCAGAGTCAAGCGATTGCGCGAAATCCCACACTGGTGGATTTTGGGGCGCTGCGCACCCCCTCGTTGTGTTTGCAGTTTTGCCTCTTTGAAAACTGAACAGTTTTTTGGGGGAATAAGTCACTATGTCAAAACTACAGGGGTAGGCAATGAAACGGAGCTTTGCGCCCTTTCCCACCCGCCGGGGGGGCACCCAGGCCGGCCACCTGATCGGTAGTGGTGGACGGGAGGCGCGAACAGCGCCATCTTGGGGTCTACACGCCGACCAGTGCTCCCGTCAGTGACCAGGAAGAGGGGCTGCGTGGCCTTCTCAGCCGCCGGCCGCGCGTCCGTGTGGTCTACAGTTAACGAACCAAAAGCCCTGCTTCCGTTTTAACACAAATTGGGTGGCGAACTCGGCGCCCATAGCTCTGGCTCGAGTTTTAGCGATTATGTCGCGAAACGCATTAATTAGCCGCTACATCGAAATTGCCGAGGTAGCCGAAATCACAACTTCCGCTGTAGCGGCTAATGCGTTCTCCGAGGTCATGTTCGTGGGCGGAAAACGAACCGGAACCCCGGCGGGGCACCTTACGGGCTGTGTTAAAACGAGAGGCCAGAGCCTGTTCACGCGATGGCCAGCCGTGGTGAGTTGAAGGTCTCGGCGAGAAGTCGGCAGCACAGCAGAGCCCTTGCTCAATATTGGCTCTGACGCCGTGCCAGTTGTCGGCGCGCCGCGATCTGCATACCTGTTCGTGCCTCTACATTAGTGCGGCCACGTGTATTGCTGTTCGGCGATCCGCGTTCCGCTCTCTCGCCCGTGAGACTGATTGGCGGGCGCCCGAAGCACCTGGCTTGCGCGTCGAGCGGTGAGCTCTCTACAGACACCGTCCGAGCCCGATGCACGCCAGGCGTCTCATCATTCCAAGCCCACTAAGCATTCCCACGCGTTCAGGCGCCGCTCGGACCCCACCTCTTTGAGCCGGTTACCTCACGACAACGCAACTCGGCGCTCTCGATGTGAGCGCTAGGCAGTCTCAACGCCGATTGCTGCCGAGCATGCACGACTCGTAGGCGTACCGGCGTGCCGCTGGCGTACTACGCGACGGTGGAGGCGCGTGGATTTGCTCAAAAGGCATGCATCTGTCGGAGAGCTTGCCGCAAGACCTGATGTGCCTCCGCTCCGGTGTGTGGCAGTTCGATGGATCCAGCCCAGCGACCTCCACGTGACGATTGAGGACTGCTCTTTTCCTTCGGCCGAGCCTCCAGTCCCTGCCACCGTGCACTGGCGCCAGCGAGCTGCACTCATATCCCGCACGCGCGATCGGCAGTCGAGTTATAACCCGCAGCTGTGCAGTGCGTGCGCACCACGAACCGTTGTTCGGCGATCTCTCGGCGACCACTTGTCGACTCGCGCTCGGACGCGAGGTACGTGCTCGCCCGGTCCCCCGGGAGAGGACCAGGCCATTTTTAGCGAGACATTTGGAATCATCCTCATCGCCCACCACTCACCCCTCCCTCCCTCTTCCGCTGCCGCCGTATCCGGTCCTAGCCTGCGATACATTGAGACCTCACGCCCCGCGACTGTCTCCCACGCTCGCAGGCGGGCATATCCGCCGTGCCACTCCATGCATGATCATCGCTGGGGGCAGCGGTGCTCGTGCGACTGCGGATTCGGCCTCACCTCACGCCCTCTGGCCTGCAGCTGCACGTTGCCGGGCGCCATGCCTCCGTCGAATGGAGGCCCGACTCCAGGCTCTGAGCACGTCTAATCCTTACGATTCATGTGCCCTGCGCATGGGAGGCTATCGTAGCTACGAGACTGGCGCCATAGACCTCGTGTGACATTGTGGGCGCCCTGCAGGGGTCGAAACCGCCGTTGGTTCGAGGAATATTCGAATATAATCGGCGAAGTACTTGTGCGGGGGCAGAGGCACGCGTGATTGTTCCGGCGGCGAAGCGCGTGTGTCGCCAGCTTGCGCGAGTCCTTGTCGGCCGTGGCGGCCGCCAGGGCTAAGGAGTGACCGTCAGAAAACACCTGCGTGGTGCGTGGACCCCGCTTCACACCTTCCTCCGCCTCCTCACTGTCGCTCTACACAATTACTACACTCTCTAGATCTCGCGTCCCGACAGACCCCACACCACACTCCACAGAGCGGCACACCGGTCACGACTGACCGCCTCAGGTCCCCACGAGGGTCGTCCCCCAAGTTGAGTGTTGCCCTGTTGCCGTAGATAGATAGAAAGGCGAAGAACAGCCTGCCTGGCTCGGACTGGACAGTATGGGTGGATGGACGCGACACGGGGCATTTACCTGCCAGCCCGCCTGAAATGCTTTTGCTATCATTCACAGCTGCAAGCCCGCCTGAGTTCGTCGGGCCGAGGCTATCATTCACAGCTGCCAGCCCGCCTGAGTTCGCCGAGCAAGCGAGCGTTCGCCGAATTGCTACCCGGGTATGACCAGCCTGAGTTCGTGGGGCCGAGCTCAGCTATTGACACCAAGCCCGACGAGGCGATCCTCTGCTTTCCGCCCTCGCCCTCGCCCCTGCCCCTCCGCTGGCCGGCGAGAAGCGACCCCCGCTCCCATCCCACTCACAGGTGCGTCGACGCTGCTTCGTGGGCGCCTGCGCCCCCTCCACTCGTAGACCATACGCCTCTCCCACCGACGCACAAACGCAAGCAAGCCACACAGCCCCCGCCACTGTCACACCTCCCCAGCGCAAATTTGGGGGCGGCGTCATCGGCGGCGCGCGCAATGCTTCGGCCTTCCCGGCAGCCGGAACGACGCGCATCTTCCCACTACGAGAGCTTCGCTCTTCTGTCGACGACGCCTCTGCGCAGAGCGCGAGGGTCAGGCCGACTTCACCTCACCTCCGCCGACTTGCCGTCTTCACCATCGCCGCCCTCAATCCTCGCCAATATCACCATGGTCTTCATCACAGCCGCCATCATCGCCGCCGCCTTGATCATCTCCGGCATCATCATGCCCGCCGCCGCCGCACCCACGAGGCCGACGTCTTGGAGGCGCCTGCACTTTATGGTCTCGGCTGGACGGCGCGCGGCTCTATCCCGACCTTCACTCCCATCGCCCGCTCCCACTTGCCGCACTCGCAAACCCCTCGCGACGCGACGCGCCTACTCCCTCCCCCCCCCCCCCCCCTCTGACTTCGCCTGCAGGTCGCAGCTGCGCTGCGGCCCAGCCGCTCTCGGCAGCCCCGACTCCCTCCGTCCTGCGTGACGCCCGCTCCTTAGCCCACGCCCTCGCCATGGCGCCTTCCTCGCCGCCGTCACCACCGGTCGCCGCCGCCCTCGCCGCTCCGTCCGCCCTCGCCACGCCCTCGCCACACGCCCTCGCCGCCGCCGCCGCCCTCGCCGCCGCCGCCGCCGCCCTCGCCCTCGCCCTCGCTACCGCCAGCCCTCCGCCAGCCTCGCCGCCGCCTCACTACCTTCCGCGCCGCCGCTACCCTCGCCGCCGCCGGCGCCTTGCCGCGGCGCACCCTCGACGCCCCTTCCCCCACCCCACCATTGCCCATGTCAGCGCCGCCGCCGCCGCCGCCGCCGCCGCCGCCGCGTCGCCAGTGCCTGAGTCCGCTACTCGAGCCGACTCCATTTGCACCGCCGTCGCCCTGGCCGCCGCTGCCCGCGCCGCCGCCGCCTCGCGCCGCCGTCCTCGCCGCCGCCGCCCCCTCGGTCGCCGCCCGCGTAGCCGCCGCCCTCGACCTCGCCAGCCGCCGCAGCTGTCGCTCAACTTTCGCGTTCGGACTTTGTCTCCCCCTTCCCCTCCCCTTCAGACCCCGCCCCATCCACATGCCACCTAGCCATTCAGGAATCTTTAGCCTGAACCCCCTCACCGCCCCTTCCGATGCCCGGCGTGTCAGGCTCCACAAGTTCTCAACATGAAGGTCTGGTGGCTCGCCCCGCTCATGCTCTCCGTCGCGTCGGGGTTTTCTTCGATCACGCACGCGAAGGACAAGATCATCTACATCGTGCGGCACGGCGAGAAGATCGACGGCAATTTCGACCAAAACGAGCTCCAGCACGAGGCGCAGTGCCTCTCGGAGAAGGGCTGGGCGCGCTCGTACAACCTCAAGTCCGTCTTCGGCACGAAAGATTCCTCCGCGCGGAAGGATCTCAAGAAGCCAGAGGCGATCTTCTCGTGCAACTACGCCGAGCCGCTCGATTGCCGCGACCGCAACGGCATGTTCCGCACGCAGCAGCTCGTCGCGGCGGTCGCAGACGGCCTGGACCTCACCGTCGACAACAGCACCGGCTTCATCCCGTCGCTCTGCGGCATGGTTTGGAACAATGAGTCCAAGAAAGGCTACAGACACCACAAGATCGAAGGGAAGCACCGGCAGCCCACGGAATACGCCAACGAGTTCAAGAAGTGGCTCGAGGCCGAGCCAGAATGTGAGGGCGCAGACTGCAAGCCGCAAGATGGCCGGGCCGGCAACTTCATCGCGGGTACGTCGTGCCACGTGCGCGGCTTCGGGCCGGGTGATGACACAAAGACGAACGCGCCCGACGGCACGTGCTGCAACCAGCACGCGGCGGACATGATGCTCAAGAAGCTGGACGAGGTCGATTACATCCTCGTCGGCTGGGAGCACGCCAACATCATCTACCTCGGCGCCTCCCTTGCAAAGATGGCGCCGCCCCCTCCCAGCCCTCCCCCCTCCCAGCCCGCCCCACGCCCGCGCGCACACCGGTTGCCCCCGTGCGGTGCCTTGATCGAGCGTTGCCGCGTGGCAGGGATACGATGACTTTCACGGGGAGGCCGGCGACTGGGACGGAAGCGACTACGACCGCATCTACGAGATGCACTTCACGCCCGACGGCCATGGCAGCTACGAGTACAAGCCCGACGGAAGCAACTACAAGAAGCGCCAGGCAGCAGCCGACCGCACAATCGCTGCGCCCCTTTGTTTCGCTCCTCCTAAGCTCCCAAACCCCGCCACCGCCAGGACTTCGACTACCCGATAATGTGGGGCGGGGGTGGGGGTCACACCCGGTGTGGGCTACTTATCACACGAAGTAGCTGCCTAGGTTTCATCCGCTCGCCCATTGACTCATCTGTGTATGGCGGCTTCAAATCAACGTTTAGAGGAGGTCGGTTTCGCCCCGGGGGGCCAACAAAGAGCGACACCACGCGGCCCGGTGCCGTTCGGGCGCCGCTCATCGCTTCGCAGCGAGCCCAGGCTCTACAAACATCTCCGTCGCGAGCTGCGCGCGCCCCGCGGGTCCGTGTGACTGTAGCTGTATCTCCCAAACATCTCCCGCAGCTCAAAGCGATCTCGGCCTAATCTCCACGGCTCGAGATTGCACGAGATAAAAACGGCGCTCTCGAGGTGGGGCGCCAAGACCTGGATAGCGGAGCGCGTAGGACGCGCGCTGCCGATGTGCACAGAGCCCGGGATGGCGCCAGCATCCGCCCTCGTGGTCGCGAACGGCGCCGGTCGGCGCGTGCGGCTCTGCGTCAACCAGTACGGAGCCCGAAATGCGCAAATGCGTCCAAAAGTAAAAAAATCAGCTTTCCGCGCAGGCGTGTTCCGGGGGCCCAGTGGAGCATTTCATCCAGTGGCGTCACCGGCTCTAGAGAAAGTTATAATTTCTCAGTGGGGTTTTGACATAGTGATAAGTTCCTATCCAACGCTCTGGAGACTAAGAGCGCTGGCCGCTGGCTGCGCACCGTCCGCACGTACATTTCTCTTGGCTTTGGGAGACCACAGACAGTCGAGGGGCGGAGATGCGGGAAGGGGGTGGGGACCCGCGGTAAGAGATCGCCCGTCGGCTGGCCTGCGGCCGTTGCATGCACATGCAGGCTAGAAGGATCGTCTAGGCCGCCTCAGAGGCCATGTGCAGACGATGGAGGTTCCGCTCGAGCATCGCAATCGTCACCTTCCCGATGGCGGGCACGAAGGTGGTGTGCTCCTCGATGCCCTCGCCAAAGTTGGAGAACTGCGAAAAGTTGACCGCGATCGCGCCCGGCTTCACCTTGCTCGCCTCGATCTTGAACTTTGGATGCGGGACCCCCGCGATGACGATGTCGGCGGCCGCGAGCGCCTCGTCCTGCGTCACCTCGGTCTCCTCGACCTGCGAGGGGCGGCGGGCGGCGAGAGGTGGTGGGCGAGAGAGGTGGTGGGCGAGAGAGGTGGTGTACGAGAGAGGTGGTGTGCGAGAGAGGTGGTGTGCGAGAGAGGTATGGGCGAGAGAGGTATGGGCGAGAGAGGAGGAGGGAGGCCTCACGCGTCCGACCCGGGCGGGGAGCCCTGCGTGCGGTTCTCCACACACCCGCCTCCGCCCGAGGCTACGGGCCGCCCCTTCCCTCCTCGGCCGCTCGGCCACCCCTTCCCTCTCTCCCGCGCGCCTTGATCGTGCCGTTCACGCGCCCCTTGCGGTAGATGAGCATGTTGTCGATGTCCACCGAGTAGACCAGCGCGCCATCGTTCGCCAGCATCGCCGCCAGCGGCCGCCCCACCACCTCGGAGCGGTTGTACAGCACAACTGTCTGGCCGGCGAGCTGCGGCGGAGGCAGAGGCGGCGGTGGGGAGAGAGCGGGGCGGCGGGCGGCGGGGAGGGATGGTCGAGCCCCTCGCGTCGCGGTCGCGCGCGCGCTGCCCCTCCGCGGCCGGCCCTCTCCGAGCGCGGGTCGGCGGGCGGGCGGGCGGCGCCTGCTCGCCAACGGGCAGCTCCTGCTTGTAGGCGCCGAGGTGGTTGAGGATCTTGAGGATGGCGAGGGGTGTGCAGGGGAGGATGGCCTTCCGGTTGCCCAGGTCGGAGAGCACGCGGATGTTGTGGTACAGCGAGTAGCGGTACCGGTGGTTCAGGCCCTCGACGTCCTTCTCCACAGAGATGACGTCGCGCAGGTAGTCATCAATCGGGCCGCCAAAGACGGGATAGTAGACAATGATGCCGTTGACGGCCGGGTCCTCGTTGGCCTCGATGACGGCGTCCTCCAGATCCACCCGCTCCACCTGACGCAGCTCGTACTGGATGCCGTCGCGAGCACACGCCCGCTCCGTCCACCGAGCGTACATCACCGCCGCCTCATCCTTGTTGGCGATGATGCCAACCAGCTTTGGCCGTGGGCCGCCCGCCTCCACGCGGACCTCGATCTCCTTCTTGATCTCGTCGCGGAACGCCAGGGCGCAGGCGGTGACGTCGACCTTGGGCATCGGCGGACGCGAGGGAGAAGGGATGTATAGAGGCCGGTGGCTCCGACCCGCGTGCACCGGCCGAGAGCATCCGAGTTTTTTTGTTTTTTTTGAGAGCGCCTTCGTTGTTAATAGTACAAACCCATGTCCCGAGCCTGCTGTTCTTCACCTTTCTACCGACCTACCTACGGTCGAGGGAGTTCTTCACCCTTCCTAGTATCGACCTCTGGCGAGTCAGCCAGCCCCACTTTGAGGGCGCCATGAAGTACAGCGATCGCCACCTCGCTGGCCTCACCGCAAGGCCCCCCGACCGCGTCGAACTCAACGGCGCGGGCTCTCTCGGCTACGGGACCGGCCCCAGCTTCGGCTGAGGGCTGACAAGCTGCCGAGCCCAAATCACTGCGAGAGTCGTGATTTCTGGTTGGTCTTCAAAAAATCTCTCTCAGACTCTCTGCGCGAGGACCTAACAAAAAAGGTGTGACCTGTATCTGTGCGTGATCTGTGTGTGTGCGCGCGCGCTGAGATATTTGCCTTGTGTGTGCGTCCGCCGTCCCGCTTGCACCGGCCACCGCGGCCCTGTGACACCTGAGGCGCCGCGCGCCGAGCGACTCCCCGTGCGGAGCCGGAGGACCCCGTGCGTCTATTCACTATTGAGCTGAAGAATTTTACAACCAAAGAAAAGAAAGAAAGAAAACAGACAACCCAAGGGAGGAATGGGAGGACGGAACGCCGCCACCACACAGGGATTTTAAGGAAAGGAGTGTGGTGCTAGCCGTCACTCGAATTCCGTCACTCACCCTCCCGGTGAGCGGTGTAATAAATAAACAGAGCAGTCATCTCCAGGAGAGATGGGCGACGCACGAACACAGAGGCAGAAAGAAAGAAAGAAAACAGACAACCCAAGGGAGGGATGGGAGGACGGCACGCCGCCACCACACAGACAGGGATTTTAAGGAGAGAGGTGTGGTGCGCTAGCCGTCGCCCACCCTTGGGCGTCCGCCTCTTCCTATCTCTCTTCGCAGTCTCTCGCCGATTCTCGCTGCAACCTTCATGCCACGTAGGGGTCACCACAGGCGCACTTGGAGCAGTTGGCGCTTGGAGCACTTGGAGTGCAGTCCAGTAACCTCACATCCAGGGCCGGGGAGCTGAGAAGCGCACCCAGCGGGCCGGATGATCGGGATCGGGCTACGGGCTAGAGAGCCCTGACCCCTAGCTAGGGGGGGTGCGCGTTCGCAGGGAAAGAGGGCCGTAAAGTAAACACGGGTCTCCGAGGGTTGGTTCCGTGTACCGGCTACCGCAGTACCGGGTTTCCCCTTAACTTCAGAACGCCCCCTCTACTCGGAGCTAGAAGACACGACACTGTACACCACGTACGTACACAGGTCCTCACTCAGCATCCCGTTCCAGGGTTCCACCGCCCGCCTTCCCGGGGTTCCGGTCCCCCCTGATTCGCTCTTTTATTCGCCAGCCGAGCGTCGCCTGACGGTCGCTGTAGCCGTTTCTGATGTCTCCTCTTTGGCCGAGGTCTCGCCTCCGCTTCTCCTCCGACTGGTACTGCCGCCTCCGAGAGCGTCGACGGCCCGGCCGGGCAAGGACGGTGGCCGGTCTCAGCCCTACCTGGCCGTTCTATATTATAGAATGGCATCCTATAATGTAGAATGGCGTCTCGCGCGCGCTCACCCGGCCGCCTCGCAGCCCCAGCGGCCGGGGGGCGCTTGCCGGGGTTGAGGCTGGTCACACACAGGCGCCACTTTAACGCGGCGAGCCAGAGGAGTCACACAGGAGAGCCCCCAACACGCCACATTTTCAGCAGCAGACGGGCCGCGGTGAGCGCCCATTCTATATCGAAGAATGGGGTCCGCCGCCGTCCCCCACGGCCTCCTCACGCCCCCAGCGGCAGCGTGCCGCTCGGCCAGACTGGTGGGGTTCGCGACAAGCGCCAGTTCAACACAGAGAAGCCCAACAGTCCGCAAATGAGAGTCCTCCCCCCCGCCCCGGCAAACCAGAGCAGACGCCGGGGGCCGCGTATGGCGAAAGCAAACGCACGACGGCCGCCGGCGGCCGTTGAGCCGCTGCCGCCGTTCGAGCCTTGGATGTCCGTCCGTCGCCGCCTGTGGCGAGGGCAGTGGAAGTGTGAGATTTGTGCTCGCAAGTGGTGGGCGGGCGAAAGGGTCGGGCGGCAGAAGTGAGCAGACAGCGCGAATGCGGTCTACCTGTGTCACATCTACATCTACTCCTCGTGTCACCTAGTCATGGTCCTCGCTTCCCTGCCCGATCTCCGAGTCCTGCGCCTCGCCTGAGTCCTCGTCCAAGTTCGAGTAGTCCTCTCCTCGTCTTCGTCCTCGTCTTCGTCCTCTTCGTCGATCTCGTCGAGCCGGGCGGCTCCTGGCCCGTCCCGGCCGTGACGCTGGGGCCGACTTGCTAAGCGGGCGGGGAGACGGACCGCCAGCTCTGCTGCTGCCTGTGCTGCCCGTAGTCCTTGCCTGCGAGCGAGTGCCCTTTGCGGGGCTGTCGCTCAGAGAGCGGGTGTCGCCACGGCCGTCTTCTGATCTGTTTTGTGGTTTGCGCGCTGCGCTGCGCTGCGCGTCTCGAGGCGCGCCGCAACACAGCCCGTGTAAATGGGGTAATGGATGAACCAAGCATCCCCGATGGCCGGGGGGATGTCCCATGGCCCCGGGGTGGCCGTGGGCACGCAGGGGGCGCGGCTACGGGCCGCTGCGGCGCCCATTCTATTTCGAAGAATGCCATTCTGGAATATAGAATGTAGGTCTGAGACCGTGGCATTGGGTCCCACCCACTTCCATCCCCGGGAGGTCGGGTCCGCTCTCCCTGGTCGACGAGTCGTGCCCGCACCCGCGGCCTCTCTATCGTCCTTGGCTCGCTCCCCCCCTCCGCCGGCTCCTCTTCAGGCTCGGGGATGGCCCTCCTTGTCGTCCCCGGGGCTCTCAATTCTTCTCAGGTTCTTCTCTGGCGTAAAAATCGTTGCTTTCTCGACCAAATGCCAGCGGTCCAGCATCTCACGGCTCAGGCGCCGAGCCCGCGCCGCGACTCTAGAAGCCGCCCCCCTCCTCCACCTCGGCCAAGCGGGTTACATCGCGCACGGTCGGGCCCTCCGCGAGTCTAGTCACCACTCACTCGCACGTCCTTTCCCGCTCTTTCCACTTGCATTGTCCTCTCGCGCGTCGTCTGCGTCCAGCGCTCCTCTCTCACCACTCCTCTTTCCACCGCGCACAGGAGCGGGCGGACGTCTCGTCGTTCCTGCGTGCACACGCCAAGGACCTCTCGCGTGCGTGTGGCACTGATAAGGAGCTCGCCGCCTTCGTGGACTCCTTCCGCCGCAGGTGGTACTGGCCATTCTAGTCGGCGCATACTGGCAAATGGTAGCCTGTCGTGCTACTGACGTAGCATATCGCATGCGCATGCGTGGGTGTCACTGTCACTCAAATAGGGACGCCTGAGACGCGCGCGGTGCCGGTGGCACCGGTGCGGTCCTGTCCCGCCCCCCCGGGTCCGCGGTGTTCCCGCGCGGTCGTGAGACTGCTACACAGATATACCGCATACACTGAGCTTGTACTTGGCATGTCGCGGCTTTTATATTATAACCCCATACTACCCGCCGGCCGCCGGCCTACTGCCTCTCGTGCCCGCTGCGCGCGCGCAAAAGCGCTGCCGAAGCGGCTGCACCGTCTCCGTGTGCGCGAGGTGCGACACACGGCATGTGGGTACGGAACAACGACGCGAGGCGTTGCACCGCGCGCAGCCGGCGATCGGCGCGCGAGGACAGAGCGCCGCTGACGCGGCCGCCGCGGCGGCTGGCGGGGCCTCAGCTCGGCGTCGCCTTTGCGCGCTTGATCTCGAAGAGGAGCATGCGCCAGAGCTTGACGGTGAAGGGCTCCGCCTCCTCGTCGAGCACCTTTGCCACCTCGGCCTCCACCTCCGCGGCGGCGGTGCGCGCGGCCAGCTTGTCGAGCACAAAGTTGACCAGCGTCGGCTCGTCCTCGCCCAGGTATTCCTCCATCTTTTTCGACACCTGATCCGCAAGGGGGGGTGGGGGGGAGGCAGTCGGCGGTGGTGGCCAGACCAGTTGTGGCTCCCTCACACCCACCCCCGCGTCACCCAGGGCCGGATCCGCTCCTCGAGCGCGCCGCAGCTCAGCGCGACTTCCCACTCCACCTGCGAGCGACGGCCCGGCCACATCAGCCGACCTCATCTAATTGACGTCTGCATCCCGTCTACACCCCGTCTACACCCCGTGCACACCCCGTCTACACCCCGTGCACACCCCGTGCACACCCCGTGCGCCTCTCCTCTACCCCTCTCGTCTACCCCTCTCGTCTACCCCTCGCCTCGCAGGCGTACAGCTCGTCTCGCTTGGTCGGGATGCTGCTGATGAGCGCCTTGAGCTCCTCGCTGCTCGGGCCCGGGGCGGCGGAGGAGGACGAGGCGGCGGTGGGCCCGGCGGGGCCGGAGGCGGGGGGCGGCTCGGCCGCCGCCTTGGCCGCCTTGGCCGCCTCGACGTCGGCGACCGCCGCCCGCTCCTCGTCGGAGTACTCGATCGGCACCAGCGGCCGCATCTTTGGGCCGTCGTCCACCGCGAAGCCCGCGGCCGGCTTCGCGGCGGCGGCGCGGCCCCTCCCCCTCCCCGCGAGGCCTCTCCCTGCGAGGAAGAGCCCCCGCCCCCGCCCCAGCGAGACAGGCGTCGCCGCGAGCCGTGCGGGCGGAGAGACTGGCCGCGGCTGCGCGATGGCGCGCCGCTGCTCCTCCGCCTCCCTCGCCGCCTCCTCCGCCTCAACCTTGGCGCGAGCCGCCGCCTCCGCCGCCTCCACCCGCGCGCGGGCCTCCGCCTCCGCCTCCGCCTTTGCCGCCGCCTCCGCCTCCGCCTCCGCCTTGGCCGCCGCCTCCGCCGCCGCACGGGCCTCCTCCGCCGCCTTCGCCTCCGCCTCCGCCCTCGCGGCAGCCTCCGCCTCTGCCCGCGCCTTCTCGGCGGCGGCGGCGGCCGCCGCCTCCTCCTCCACCCGCCTCCTCCCCCGCTCCTCGGCCAGCTCCTGCGGTTGCGGGGGGGGGGTGGGGAGGGCGGCGCCGGGGAAGGAGGGAGGGGGGGGGGCAGGGGAGCTGGGTGGGTGGCTTGGTCGCTGCCTGCTCCTCCTTGCGCGCGTCCGCCTCGTCCTCCTCCCGCTCTCGCCGCACGCGCCGCATGGCGTCGCGCGCGCTCTCGCGGCCGCGGTCGTCGCGGCTGCGCGATTCGCGCTCCTCCCTGCCCCTACCGTGCGCCTCTCGCTCCCTCGCAC